TTTTCATGACTGTATAATATTCCAGTGTAAGACTATATATCACAATTTACTTATCCATTGTACTGTTGATAGACGTCAAGTTGTTTCCAGTTGGGGGATAATATCTGTAATTCTGATACATATCTTTTGGTGAACATGCATGTATATCTACACAATATATTTTTGAGAGCAGAATTGTTGGGTTGCTATAGGGCAATTTCTATTCAGATTTAGCAGATGATGTCAAATGACTTTCCTAAGTGGTTATATCAATTTACACACTATCCAGCAAGGTAAAATATTTCTCATCCCCTTCTACCTTCCCTCGCTCTTTTCCTTTCTTCCATTTACTTATTTATTAATTCATATTGAACAACGGTCTCTGGATTAGATCTTAGTCTTTTGGGGCTGCTATAACAAAATTCCACAGACTGTGTGGCTTATAAACAACAGAAATATATTTCTCACAGTTCTAAAGACTGGAAGTCCCAGATCAAGGCACCAGCATGGCTGCTTTCTATAGAAAGTCCTCTTCCTGGTTCATAGCCAGGGACTTCTCTTTGTGTCTTCACATGGTAGAAGGGTTAGGGAGCTCTACTGCACCTCTTTTAAAAAGGGCATTAATCTCATTCATGAAGACTCTGCCCTTATGACCTAATCATCTCTCAAAGGTCCCACTTCCTAAAACAATCACATTTAGGCATTAAAACTTCAAAATATGAATTGTGGAGGGCAACTATTCAGACCACAACAGTATCTAATGGTGAATTAAAAAAAAGTTAACATATGTATCTCTTAAGAGTCCTCTCCCCTATCCCCTAATTCAGTGAGCAGATGAATGGGAAATTCCAGCACTATGTGGATCCTCAAAAGGCCTCATATGAGGTACAGCACCCAAATTCTCCCTCCTAGAAAGCAAGAGCCTCTGAGTATGCTCACTAGCCCCATATTTGGGAAAGGGCCTCTTCCTTCATATTGAGATATATTTAATCCAGGCCCTACCCCCAGGAGCCAGCCAGTTAAATATTCAACCACAATGGGAGCAGCCACTAGGTGCTGTCCTATTCTTGAAGGCTCAGACCATTGCTCATTTTTTGTTGTTGTTGTTTTTTTTAATTTTGTTGAGGTAAAATTTACACAACATAAAATTCACTGTTTTAACAATTTTAAAGTGTACAATTGAGTGGCTCTTAGTACATTCAGTGTTTTGAAACCATCACCACTGTCTAATTCCAGAACATTTTCCTCAAACCAAAAATAAACCCATGCCCCTAAGCTGTCCTTCCCTATTCCCTCCTCCCTCCAGGCCCTAGCAACCACTATTCTGCTTTCTGTCTCTGCGAATTTGCCTCTTCTGGACATGACATAAATGCAGTCATATAAGATGTGACCTTTTGTGTCTGGATTCTTTCACTTAGCTAGATGTTTTAGAGGTTTATCCATGTTATATCATGCTTCTATCAGAACTTCATTCCTTTTTATGGCTGAATGATATTCCACTGTGTGTTATATAACATTTGTTTTCCATTCATCAGTTAATAGACATTAGGGTTGCTTCTAGTTTTTGGCTGTTATGAACATTGATGCTGCTATGAACATTTGTGTACAAGTTTTTGTTTGAATGTATATTTCCATTTCTTTTAGATATACACTTAGGAATGGAATTTCTGGGTCATATGGTAATTATATGTTTAACATTTTAAGGAACTGCCAAAATGTTTTCCATAGCAGCTGTACCATTTTACATTCCCACTGACAATATACAAAGGTTTCAGTTTCTCTACATCCTTGCTAACATTATTACTTTCTGTTTTTTTTTCTTTATTATATAGCCATTCTAGTGGATGTGAAGTGATATCTCATTGTAGTTTTGATTTGTATTTCCCTATTAACTAATGATGTTAAACAACTTTCCATAGGCTAATTGGCCATTTGTATATCTTCTTTGAATGTCTACTCAAGTTCTTTGCCAATTTTTTAATTGAGTTGTCTTTCTGTTGTTGAGTTGTAAGAACTCTTTACATATTTTGGATATTATACCCTATAAAAGATTTGCAAATATTTGCTCCCGTTTTATGTGTTGCCTTTTTACTTTATTGATACTTTATTGATATCCTTTGATACACAAAAATTTTTAATTTTGATGAAATTCATTTTATCTATTTCTTTCTTCTGTTGCTTGTGCTTTTGGTATCATATCTAAGAATCTGTTGCCACATCCAAGATCATGAAGATTTATTCCTATGTTCTCTACTAAGGGTTTTATGGTGTTAGCTCTTACATTTAGGTTTTTGACCCAGTCTGAGTTAGTTTTCATTTATGAAGTGAGGTAGCGGTCATTTTTTTGCATGTGAGTATCTAGCTGTCCTGGCACCACTGATTGAAAAGACTATTCTTTTCCCCATTTAATGGCCTTGCTACCCTAGTCAAAAATCAATAACTCATAGATATATGGGTTTATTTCTGAATATTTAATTCTATTCCATTGATCTATCTTTACACCAGTACCACATTGTTTTAATAATTGTGATTTTGTAGTAAGTTTTAAAATCGAAACATGTGAGTCCTCCAGTTTGTCCTTTTTTCAAGACTGGCAATTTGAGTCTCCTGAAATTCTATATGCATCTTAGGATCAACTTGTCAGTTTATGCAAAAAAAAAAAAAAGGCAGCTGTCATTTTGATAGGATTTCATTAGATCTAAATCACTTTGGGGGAGTATTGCCATCTTTACAGTTTTTGACTATGGCATCTCTCTATATATTTTAGAATCAATTTATCAATTTCTACCAATTTGTAGTCTTCCATCTACCTGCACTACCCATGACTTCCTCCCTTTCTTATACAGGATATCCACAAACGAGCTCACATATAAAACACCGGAAAGATTCCTTCTACATTATAAAATTTCCTTCTTTGAAGAGCAAGCTGAAATTACAATGAATTTACTAAACCTAGTTTTACTGCAACTTTTAAGTAAAAATAATTTATGTACATTTATAAATTCATGAAAATAATCTTCCTATTCACAAGATTAAAAAATTGTCTTATATTGCTAAAAGAAATTAAAGAAGACACAAAATGGAGAGATATTCCATGCTCGTGGATTAAAGGAATTAAATATTGTTAAAATGTCTGTTATTACCTAAGGCAATCTATAGTCAATGCAATCATTATCAAAATCCCAATGGCATTTTTCAAAGAAATAGAACATAAAAATCCTAAAATTTGTAAAGAACCACAAAAAACCCTGATTAGCCAAAGCAATCCTGAGGAAAAAAAGCAAAGTTGGATGTATCGCACTCCCCAATTTCAAACTCCCCAGCAAAGCTATAGTAATCAAAAGAGTATAGTATTGGCCAAAAAACGAACATGTGGACCAATGGAACAGAACTGAAAGCCCACAGACATACACACACCAAAAAAACCCCACACGTATATGGGCAACTAATTTATGACAAAGGACCCGAGAATATACAATGAAGAAAGGACAGTCTTTTCAAAAAACAGTGTTGGGAAAACTGGGCAGCCACATGTAAAAAAATAAAACTAGATAATCTATCTTATATTGTATGCAAATTTAACTCAAAGTGGATTAAAGACTTGAATATAAGACCTCACATCATAAACTACATAGGAGAAAACATAGGCACAAAGCTTCTGGACATTGGTCTTAGTGATGTTTTTGTGAATTGGATTCCAAACAGTAAAAGAAAGAAAAAACAAAAATAAACAAATGGGACTACAGCAAACTAAAAAGCTTCTGCAAAGCAAAGGAAATCATCAACAAAACAAAAAGGCAACAACCTGAATGGGGGAAGATATTTACTAATGATATTTCAGAGAAGGAGTTATATCCGAAGTATACAAAGAACTCATACAACTCAACAACAAAAACCAAACAACTCCATTAAAAAAATGGGCATAGGACCTGAACAGACATTTTTCCAAGGAAAACATACAGATGGTCAACAGGCACATGAAAAGATGTTCAATATCACTAATCATCAGGGAAATGCAACTCAAAACCACAATGGGATTTGTGAGATTTTTTTTTGATTGACTCAATGTTCTGAAAAAAGAAAAAACCACAATGAGATATCAATTCACATCTGTTAGAATGGCTATTATCAAAAAGACAAGAAAAAGCTGGTGTTGAAGAAGATGTGGAGAAAATGGAACCCTTGTATACTGTTGGTGGGATTGTAAATTGGTGCAGCCACTATGGCAAACAGTAGGAAGGTTCCGCAAAAAATTAAGACTAGAACTACCTTATGATCCAGCAATTCCTCTTCTGGGTATTTATCTGAAGAATATGAAAACACTAATTCAAAAAGATATATGTACCCCTATGTTCACTGAAGCATAATAGCCAAGATATGGAAGCAACCTAAGTATCCATCAAAAGAAGAATGGATAAAGAAGCCATGATATACACACACACAATAGAATACAACTTGGCCACAAAAAAATGAAATATTGCCATTTGTGATGACATGGATAGATCCTGAGGTTATTATGGTAAGTGAAATATGTCAGACAGAAAAGGACAAAAACTGTATGATTTTACTCATATGTGGAATATAAAACAAAAAAGGAACAAATGAACAAACAAAACAAAATAAACTCATAGATATGGAGAACAGAATGGTAGTTACCAGAGGGGAAACAGATGTGGGAGGGCGAAATGGGTAAACGGGGTAAGATATACGGTGACAGATGGAAACTGGACTTTTGGTGGTGAGTATACTATAGCATATACAGATATTGAATTATAATGTTGTATACCTGATACTTTTATAATGTTACCTCAAAAAAAAAAAAACAGCAGGGTTAAATAAGCAAATGTTTATAATGTGCTAGCATATTATATACGTGGCTCAAAATAAGTCTTAAGCTATCATCATCATCATGTCTTATTATTTCTATTGTTTATGTATTACTAATACTCCTGCTGCAAGAAGCCCTGGAACAGCATGCATAAATCACTTTTCAAAATTAAAAGAAAAAAAAAAGGTCTTACCTGTATAGCAAAAGTACCAACTCCACCTGATGCACCCAAGATTAAAACACTGCAATGCAAAAAAAAGAACTAATTATAATGAAAATACTAAGCCAATATAACTGGACAAATAAACAAGACGTTTTCAACATGCAACTGGCTCAGAGATAAACAATCCCCAAAGCAAATAAAGTCATTCAGCTTCCCAAGATTCTATTATGTAGGATTTTTATTTTTGCCAAGAAGCTATAAATGCTTAAAGTCAGACATTCTATGAATGCTTCACCAAAAATACCAAAATCAAAATACCAATAACTTGTATTTTTTTAAAAAAGCTCAGATGGTTCTTGGTATCCTCTGTCTTACAATTTTTCTAGACTGAAATTATCATAGCTTTCTCTATAGGAGAAAGCTTTGGGATCCTTTTTAGTATGTTAGAGTAGATTCAGATGCTATCTAAGAAAAATCACATTCCTGACCACATTCCTGTCAAAGTGAAATAAACGTCTTTTGTTCAGACATGTCCCGTCAAGCTCATTGACTTTTATAAATGGAAATCAATCTTAGACTCAAGTTGGCTTCCTGTTAGAGCAGATGAATCTGTCATATCAGCACAAACATCCTTGTACTCCAGGTTTTTACTATGTTTAATTACTGTAGCCCTCTTGCCACTCTAGACCAAGGGTGTGCAGCCAGGAGTTTATGAATGAGTGGGGTGGGGTGGGGTGAGAGTTATGAACTCTCTGAAATTGTGAACTGATTGAAATAATACGCAAAATCTGGTGTGATTATGCATATGCACGTTGGGGAGGAGAGGGATCCAGACTTATTATCAACTTCCCAAAGAAATGTATGACCCAAAAGAGACTCCCCAGTCACTGCTTTACACACTCTAACATTTTATTCTTGACTTAAGCTAGAATTGCCTTCCTTGGTCTGCACTATTTCAGATCCCCAGATATTGTACTGAACTGCACTTTGGTGTTAGGCTACCAATCTAGGTTGAGGAACATTAGAGTGACTGTTTGATATCTGACAGTACATTAGCTAAGGAGGTATTGTTGAGAGAATTCTTCATGAGAACTCTCTTTATGAGTGCCTACGGAGAGACATTTTTCTCAAGATTAAAGGGTGGGAGTAGCTGTGCTTCTATTTATCTGTCACTGCAAATTGTGCAACTGCGGGGTTGTGGGTCCCTCTTTAACTTGGCTGCTAGAAAGTGCAGAGAATTATGCCACCTATCTCTAGCAAGTCTACCAGATCTTGAAACATGTATTTTGTCTACAATCTTAACTCTAGTATCATTTTACTTTTTTTCTCTCTTATTCAAATCATAGAAAGCTGGTTGTCACCCCTTAGATCTTAAAAATTACTAGTAGAATTTCTGGGCCAGCTGTTCACTTTGAAATTAATACCATTAAATGTAATTAAAATAAGCCTCCCTGTAAATTTGTTCCTTCTAGAAGAGTTACACTTACTTTCACAGAAATTATAAATTGTGAATAGAAGAAACTTTAAAGAATGACTCCTCCAAAATCCTTCAAGTCACACAATTAAGAGCTTTCGTACTTCCTAAATGGTGGGGACGGCAGGGCATTAAAACTGCCTCACAGTTACATCCAAAAATCAATTCATCCATGGAGTAGTTTACCCTCTTTCTTTGGTCAATTCTTATAGAAAGGTAACTGTCAAATTCTCATTTAAGTTTTTCACAATCTAACTTTATCTTAATTTTGACCCTTCTCAGTATTTCCTGAACAGAACTCTCAGCCCCTCTGGTCCCTCACCTCTTAGCCCCAAGTCCCACGCACAGTGGCCCATTCCTCAGGCTCTTAAATGCTTTCACAACCTGCTAAGGTTTCTCTTCTCTGGAAGGCTCAAGTCACAGTTTTCCTGCACAATACCCTTGAGATAGCCCCAAACCTGATATCCACATCGCGCATTTGGCATCTGTCACATTGTTACCTTTCATTCACACACTTGTTACCCAGAGACCTCATATTATATCCAGCAGTGGGCATATTACCCTGAATGCGCAGATATCTGATCAATGTTGCTTGACTTTAAAAATCATCTAAATCAGCATTATATCCTACAGCTGAGGCAACAATTGCTATTACCCTAAATTAAGAAATCACCTAGCTATTTGAAATACTGTATTAAAGTTTTTTCCAGTAAAGATAAGCTTGAAATTAATATTAATTTTCTGAGAATGCTGGATTTGAGGATGCCAAATATAACAGCTGCTTAAGGATCCAACTGCCAGACACATCTCTGACCTCATTATTGTCAGTTCATCACTTCTCTATAACTCCTGACCCAAAGCAGCCTCATTCCTCCAAATAAAAAAGCAAAAATGTGTTTCTCAGCAGTGCTTTGTTAGAAGAGGGAGTGGTTCTGCTTTAGCAGCTTCAGTTCCTGATGCTGTCACTTGATGGCGCCACCAAGTGCAAAAACAGACAAGAAGCAAGCCCAGTAAAGTGCTACAGACTGTTAGTCAGCTTATAAAGAAGCCCTGGGGTCATATCATTCATTCCCTGATCCTGCAAATTCCATGTTTTGTGCAGGTTCAATCTGGGCCCGTACTTTTCTTCAAAGAAAGTTCCACAAAGGGACAGCAGGCAAAATAAATTTTCAAGTAGCACTAAGTTGGCTGGTCCTCTATGGTTTGAAATCCTGTGGCTGAACTAACTATTCCTCTTGTACTCTTCAAAGCACTTTCACTACAAAGGGAGAATACTGCTGTGCTTACTACCTCCAGCAGCACTTCACTTATGTTCTATACAGTGGGAATACTTTCTACCCAATTGCTATAATGGTCATAATATATATTCAAGCTTCATTGAAGTAGCAGCCTATTTACTACAGTAAAGCAGTAGTACAGCAGCACACCTTTCTTTACTATTTGTATTGCTTATTGTATTGCTTATTGTATTGTTTAGTTACGAAAACAGAGCAAGTGCCCAAGAAATACACTATTTGCAAAAAGCACTATAATTCAAAATTGCCAAGTTTTAATCGCATTCCTCTTTTACTTCCTAAGTCCACATATACAGCATTTTTTTTTTTTTAATTTAGTGGGAACTGCACTGTGGCAGATATATAAAGTATGGGAGAAAGTATGAAAAACTATTACGCTGGTTATGTATTCTTAAACCCTAAACTCCAATTTTATGTCATTCCTGCCCAACCTCTGAATTCTCCCTAAAATACATTAAGGTACTAAAGCAATGTTGGCTTTTTTTTTTCTATGACTGAGTCACTTTTCATTTAGAATTCAGGCCCCTAAGTCCTCTACAATCATATTTTTCAGTATTATAATCTTATAAGGCAAGGCACCGACACCCTAATTGCCTTACAAATAAAAAAATATATATGAAACATATTGCAAAATAGCAAGAGGTCCAAAAGTAGAGAATCACCTTTCAAATTTCTATACCCTGGCTTAGCCCCAGAAATCTCTGAATGCCCGGGCTGGGTAACTAGACCTGGGTTCTAGTCCCAGCGCTCCCACTAACTGAATTTCTAGGCCTCAGATTTATCAACTATGAAATGATAATCACAGAGGTACACTCTAGGAGTCAATGAAAAAGAAAGAATTGGCATTTTCAATCTAATTTAAGCTTATATTTAGTTTCTCCACCTTTCTAACATAGAAGTAAATGCCCTTTATGAACCCCCAGACCACATACTTGTTGGGGGGGCTAAGGGAGGCAGGAAAACAGCCGCATCATTAGTGTGCCCTTTATTAAGACCTAATGTTCAGGAATAAAGATGATTTAAATATGACTAAATCTTCCATCATTAGCGACAACTGGTCTTTGAAAAATAAAGATGATGCTGAAAATGTATAATCTCAATTTTCAGTTTCACACATTACTTTTAAATCTGAGAGAAAAATAGGTGAACGAGCAAACTATATCACAATATGCAAAGTTTACTCCCTAAAGTGAGAAACAATCTAAGTATAATACAGTTAGTTACGAAACAAATCAACCAAATATGACCAAGACAGCCTGGATTTGCGTGTCCCCTTCTTTTAAGCCTCAGTAATTCTTGCAGACATTCCCCAATTTACAGAAGAGTTCATGTGTGAATTAGTTGTTTGGAAATTTAAACACATTTTCCCATAAAAATAAAGCTATTTATACATCTTGGCAAGGTGCCCAGGGTAGCTGTTTAAAAAGGTTTGGTTAACCCATAATGGACCAAAAACCTCATACACAGTATAACAATGGTTCTGTGGGAGATGTATTCAGAATTTCAACCCAGGGTACTGAGAACACATCTCCCCAATGGGATAGGAAGTGGGAACCATCCCAAGTCACTGGTTCCTTTAATGTGATATAGAACAGAGGGAAGGAAAAAAGACAGAGGAGAGGCTCCTTTATTATGGCAACAACTGGATGGAGAGAGAAAGAGCATGGTCAAAGAAAGATTTACCATGGAGCTGACAGGGTTCAGGAAATGCTACCTCAAAAGATGGCACTTTGGCAAACTAAGTATTTTAAATTGAAGAAATCTGAGAAATTGCATGTGTAGGAAGGACTCTCGGACCTTCTTCCCTGAAGCTGGTCATAAAATCCTCATGAGAGGTGTCCTCCCTAGGAGGAAGCATCCTTCCTTATCTCCAAGATGGAAGGGTGCAGAGAGGAATAAGAATGAAGAGGCCTCGCTTGTTTCCCCACTTCACTTAACACTTGGCTCATACCCGTTGTCCTATCACATTTTTTCACAACTCTCCATTCTTCATCAAATGCAGCATAAAAACATGCAGCTTTAACTACTTCTTCGGGCCTTCATTTCCTTATGAAAGCTCCCATGTCACATAAAAGTTATAATACATACATTTGTGTCCTTTTCTTTTGGTAATTTGTCATTTGTTACAGGATCCCAAGCCAAAAACTTCATAAAGTAGAAGAAAAAGATATTTTCCTTCCCCTATAGAGCCAATAAAGTTTAAGCTCTGGCCTTTTACTTATATTTTTACTGAAAGGAGCCCCAGCAATATATTTGCATGGAAATATGTCTTCATAAAATTTGCAAAAGATATGCAAATGAAGGGTAGCA